TTTAATTTATTGTGTGTGTGTGTGTGTGTGTGTGTGTGTGTGTGTGTGTGTGTACACGTACTATAACAGCAGGGAAGCCAGTGATATTGGACCATAATTTCTCATTTTCCTTTTCCAGTTTGAATAAGCCACAACTAACAACAACGTTTCTGCTAGTCCAGCAGTTTGAGATATAACTCTCACAGTTCCTTACTTTTTAGACACAAACTTATTAGTGCCACACAGAGTAGATGTTGTTTCACTCTTACTGTAAATTATTTACACATCAGAAATGTGTAATTGTGGAAATGAGCCTCCCATCCACCCTGGCCTCTGTGTTATGGTTTGTCAGAGCAGGACTCTCTGAGCCCCAGCTTCACTCCTTACAGCCATTTTGGTTGCAAGTCTCCACCTCCACCCAGTGGAGGTATTGGTCAGCAATAGCTGCATGAAGGGGGCGAGGATTAGTCTGAAGCGGATTGCTCCTCAGGGCCATTTTAGATGCAACAGCCCTGGTCTGATGAAACACAACACACTTGTCAGTCAGACCAGGACAGCTTCTGGCGAATCAGTTAAGTTCAGGACTCAAAGGTGATGGGGGAGGCTAAAGGAAAAGGGGTTGGCTGACTAGGGATTCTCTGGGCTGCCTGGAAGCCACCTGCCCAAGCAGCCAGTCAACGGCGCGGTAGCTGGGAAGGGAGTGTGACCGAGAAGTTAGTGTAGTAGCTGAGGAGCTGGGCTGTCTGCTGCACCTCCATGATCTTCCCCCCAGCACATCCCAAATTTTCCATCACCACCACCACCAAAGCTCTTCCCTGCTAACTATTCTCCTGCTGCACAAATCTAATCCTTACAGAGCTCCAGCACCTCCCCCCAACATGCTCCTCTCCCACACAGCTCCTAGGTCCACTTCATCCCCAGCACTGCTCTTCCAAGTGGTGGATTTTCCATCTTTGCTGTTGTCAAGAGTGGATGCCTTTCTGGAAGATATGCTTTAGTCAAATTCAAGTTTCTTGGCTCAGTACAGAGGTAACTGGGTGAAATGTAATGGTCTGTGATATACAGAAGGTCAGATTACATGATCTAATTGTTCCTTCTGGCATTAAACTCTATGGAGCTATGACTAGCATCCTCCCCCACCTACCCATACAGAGAGCACAATTCTGGCCATCTTTTTGCCCAACCTACCTACCATGCCCCCAGCTTATCTAACACTCCCCTGCCCCCCAGCAAACTTCGGAAAGACAATATTGAGGGAGAAATTTTGAGGGGCTCTAGGGAGTGAGCAAAGGCCGTCCTGGAAGTGGTTACTTTACCAAATCTGTCTTTTCTTTCATACAGTAATGTTTGTTATAACAGATGGGCAAAGCAAGAACTGCTGCACAAGCAGCTGATTATAGTTTTCTGGATGGGCTCAGGTTTAAAACTCTGAATGCAATCGAAGAAAAACTGCTCTCAAAAGCAGACTTTTCTGATCACTCTCAACTCTTCAAATCTCAGAGGGTGAAGACAATGTTTGCAGCTGAAGACAAGAATTTGAAAATCAGGCCACTTATTTAGGCATCTAAAAATTAACTTGGGAGCCTAGCCACTTTTGAATATCTTGGCCTATGATTTTTTTTTTTCAGGAAGGAAGAATATCAAGTGTAGCATGTTCACATACTGCAGATGCTGTCTTTGAAAGATTATGGAAGGATATCAGTTTATCTAACAATTAGACTGCAAGTTCAAGGGACAGTACTGTTTTGCTACCCCTAACCTCAGGCCTTCCTTACTGAGGGGGCTGAGGGACGTGCTAGCCCCTGCTTCCCACAGTTCCCATTGGCCAGGAACAGCAAACCGTGGCAAGTGGGAGCTGCGGGGCTCTGTGCCTGCGGACACTCCAGATAAACAAACCGGCCCAGCCTGCCAGTGGCTTTACCCTGATGGGCTGGGTGCCAAAGGTTGCCGACCCCTGGGCTATATGAACATGAAGTTCTTGAATATGGAGAGTGTTAAGGGGAAAACCTATGGTTATGCCTGAGTTAAGTCTCTGCAGTGAAGACAAGCCCAAAGCCTCTTTATCAGGTGGAGATACAAGCATCTGTGTTTCAGATGCTAGGTAAGACATCGTGTTCAAGGCAGATGCCACTGAAGCACTCTAGGCTGCGAACAGGAATGATAGGAAGCTCTGATTTGGGGGCCTCAGGAGATCTGAAATGCTCCACCCTCTTCAGGTAGACTGGGGTAATGTCTGCAGAAGAGAGAGACATGCCAGCCAGGGCAATCAGGGCTCTTCTCTGAATGTTGAATCCTGAAGAGGACATGAGACAAGTAATGAAAAAACAGTCTCTGTGCATTAAGAGAAGGTGCCATGGCTATTAACTTAGAGACAGAACGTGCCATTTGGAAGTAACTTTTGAGACTCTCAGGGCATGGAATGCGCTGAAGGAATCTCAACACTTGAGGAAAATGAGGTCCATGACCTACAAGTGCACTAAAACAGTCAATATACTAGGAATGTGGTACCTGAAAAATCTTCCTTGAAATACATAGGAGCCAAAGGCTTTGGTGTTGAGGCATCAAAGAAGACATCAGCACTGCAATGAGCCACTCTAGGAGACTTGAACTATAGGGGAACAGGTAAAATTAATAAGACAAGACGGGAATACCATTAGAGCCAAAATCTAGGAGTGGTGGAGACTGGATCTAGCCATGTCTGAGTGTGCTTGGGTGAGTGTTTTCTCAGAAAGGAACTGAAGTGGGATGTTTTAGGGCTTGTCTACATTGGCACTTTATATCACTGAAACTTGCAGCTCTCAGGGGGGTGTTTTTTCCACACCCGTGAGCGAGAAAGTTGCAGCGCTGTAAAGTGCCAGTATAGACAGTGCATTAGCACTAGGAGCCATGCTCCCAGCGCTGGTAGCTATTCCCTTTGTGGAGGTGGTGGGTGTGGGTTGTGGTGTTTTTTTTTTTTTTAGAGCACTGGGAGAGCTTTCTCCCAGCGCTGCTCTGCAACTACACAAGCCACGTTAAAGTGCTGCCGCTGTAGCGCTTTAACGTTGCTAGTGAAGATGTGCCCTTAGAAGGCACCGAGATAGCAGTAGAATGGGGCTGAACTACTGGTGCTTCAAAGAACCAAATACCAATTTATACAAGGGAAGGTCCAGCCTGCCTCATGCTAGGGAGCTGAGTCCAAACAGTAGGAATTTAGTCATATGCCACCTTTCGAGAACATTGGGCTAGATCACCAGGGCTATCGTCCCTACTCTTGCAAAAATACCATATGACAAAATAACTTTCTCCCCATTATCAGCATAGATTCTAGTTTGCTCTTCTGCTCCAATAAGGAGGGAAGGTTCAAGTCTTTCCATTGCCTCAGCAGAATGTTTCAAACAGAGTAAAAGGTTATTGTTGTTAGCATATACTTTCTGAGATTTTTCCATATTGGGATTATCCTCATTGAGACACTAGGTAAGAGGAAAATGTGGGGCTCTGGTAAGCTTCATGTAAACCCTATTATCCAGAAGGGAAAAAGTCTTTAGAATCTGGCCATAAAACTGTTGTAATTACCATTTCAGTAAGATTTGATGTGGAAAGACAGACTCTGTTACCTGATGAAGATGCCAACATAATGTAATCAAAATACTGTAATGATAAATAATAAATAGTGTGTAATAAGCATGTCATAAAACAAATTTTATGTTTCCAAGATCACTGCTTTTATAATTTATACTCAAGTAAAGGAGAAAATCCCTGGAAACATTCATTTTTAGGAGGGGGTTTGTGAGACTTGACATTTTAGTGAAAGGGGTTCACAGGTTGTTAAAATTTGGGAACTACTGCTGTATGGGAAGAAGAATCTGTGCAGGCAGAACTCCGATCCAGCAGAAGAAATGCTGTTATATATGCCAAAATCGCACAGGGCATGGTGGACAGAGGCTACACCAGGGATGCACAGCAGTGCCGCATGAAAATTAAGGGGCTCAGGCAAGCCTACCACAAGACAAAGGAGGCAAATGGTCGCTCCGGGTCAGAGCCCCAGACATGCCGCTTCTATGATCAGCAAAATGTGACCTTGTACCTAAAGCACATGTGCGGTCTGTTGTGAATTGCTTGATTCACTGTGAAAGTCACATTTCTTTATTTTGTCCTCCACTGTAGGACACTTTCCCATGCCACGTCAGTAGCAAGTGGTCTGGAGTCATTGCAGCACAAAGCATGGCAGCAGGGCCGATGGGGGTGGGGTGGGGAAGGGAAAGCTGGTACAAATTACCGGGGCCCGGCGGTCTGGAAGGGGGTCTGGGGCCTGGCTCCCCCCCACCCCCCCTGCCTGTTTAGCCGATCCGCCCTTGCTGTGGGGCCCAAAAAACCTTCAGGGCCTGGCTACCTTGGTTCTCTCACACCCCCCCCCCCCCATTGGTCCTGTTTAGCCGGTCTGCCCTTGCTGGGGGCACCAAAATTTTTTTTTCACTGGGGCCTGAACCCACGCTTGGTGGCCCTGCATGGCAGCAAATGGTCCTGGGTTTTGGTCACATTCATGCAACATTCAGTCTTTATGTTTCTGTGTCAGCCTCAGGAGAGTGATATCATTCATGGTCACCTGGTTGAAATAGGGGAATTTTTGTAAGGGAACAGTAATCCCCTCTGTTTGATCCCCGACACATTAAACGCTGGGCTGTTTGCGCTTGGCTAAAAGGGATCATCCCGGAGAATAGCCACGAAGGGGAAAAGGGGAGGGGTGTGCTGCACATCCACCCAAAACCACAGCCCCTCCTTTTAAACAGCAAACCCAACCAGCATTGGTTACTATGAGAAAGGAGGGCGCTGCAGTTTGAAACCATTCCCACGTGTTATGAACGCAGAAGAAGCCAACCCCACATAGCCTTTGGCTTACCATGACTGCCTGCAAACAGAATTCTGTTGCCCAGCCATGTGTGATGTGTCACCATACTGGCAGGCGCTCAATATAAAAGGCAAAATGTGACCTTGTACCTAAAGCACATGTGCGGTCTGTTGTGAATTGCTTGATTCACTGTGAAAGTCACATTTCTGAGAACAAAAGGGAATCTTCTTAAAATCTACTCTCCCTTCCCCCCCCCCTCGCAGCTGCAAATGTTTCTATGCTCCCCGCATCAACTCTGTCCCTGAGGTTATTGCAGATTAGAAGGCGAAAAAAACGCACTCACGATGACCTGTTTTCAGAGCTCATGCAGTCCTCCGGCACTGATAGGGCACAACTGAATGCATGGAGGCATTTGGTGGCAGAGGCCAGGAAAGCATACAGTGAGCGTGATCGGAACATACAGAAGGAGATGCTGAGGCTAATGGGGGAGCAAACGGATATGCTCAGGCATCTATTGGAGCTGCAGGAAAGCCAACAAGAGCACAGACCCCCGCTGCAGCTATTGTGTAACTGCCTGCCCTCCTCATCAAGTTCCATATCCTCCTCACCCCGACACCCAAGAACGTGGGGGGCGGGAGGGGAAGGCTCTGGGCACCCTGCCACTCAACTCCAGGGGATGGCCCAAGCAACAGAAGACTGTCATTTAAACAGCTTTGATTTGTAGTGTGGCTACTATAAGCAATGTGGCTTTGACCTTCCCTCCTCCGCCACCCCACCCCGTTATCAAACCCTTTGTACACCCAGGCTACCTTTTACTAGTCAGCATTGTCAGTGATCTCAAGTTTTTTAAATAAATAAATAATGAATGGATTCAGAACAATAGGGACTTCATTTCCTGTGCCAGCTGTGGTTGAAGGGGGATTGGCTTACAGGGAAGTACATTCACCAAAGAGGGCAGCTTTGCATCAAGGACAAACACACACAACTGTTACACCATAGCTTGGTCAGTCATGAAACTGTTTTTCAAAGCCTCTCTGATGCACAGCGCACCTCGGTGTGCTCTTCTAATTGCCCTGGTGTCTGGCTGTTCAAAATTGGCCGCCAGGCAATTTGCCTCAACGTCCCACCCCGCCATAAATGTCTCCCCCTTACTCTCACAGATATTGCTGCTTGCTGTGTGCTTCATAATAACAAGGGAATATTACCTTCATAATAACAAGGGAATAACAAGGGATCTAATCTCCTCAGCAAACTGCATCAGCACTCCTTTAAACGTCCAAGGGCACATTCTACCACCATTCTGCACTTGTTCAGCCTATAGTTGAACTGCTGCTTACTGCTGTCCCAGCTCCCTGTGTACGGCTTCATGAGCCATGGGAGCAAGGGGTAGGCTGGGTCCTCAAGGATAACTAATAGCATTTCAACATCCCCAACAGTAATTTTCTGATCTGGGAAGTAAGTCCCTTCTTGCAGCTGTCTGAATAGCCTGGAGTTCCGAAAGATGTGAGCGTCATGCACCTTTCCCGACCATCCCACGTTGATGTCGGTGAAACGGCCCTTGTGATCCACCAGTGCTTTCAACATAACTGAGAAGTACCCCTTGTGGTTTATGTACTGTTTGGCAAGGTGGTCCAGTGCCAAGATAGGGATATGTGTTCCGTCTATCGCCCCACCACAGTTAGGGAACCCATTGCAGCAAAGCCACTATGCTCTGCACATTTCCCAGGGTCACTACTCTTCTTAGCAAAAGGGTACTGAGTGCCCTGGCTACTTGGATCACAGCAGCCCCCAGGTAGATTTGCCCACTCCAAATTGATTCTTGACTGACCAGTAGTAGCCAGGCGTTGCAAGCTTCCACAGGGCTATCGCCACTCACTTCTCAACTGTCAGAGCAGGTCTCATCTTGGTATTCCTGCGCTTCAGGGTGGGGGAAAGCAACTCACACAGTTCCATGAAAGTGGCCTTATGCATGCAAAAGTTTTGCAGCCACTGGGAATCATCCCATACCTACAACACTATACAGTCCCACCAGTCTGTGCTTGTTGGCTGGGCCCAGAATCGGCATTCCACTGTATCAACATGCCACAATGCTGCCATGATATCCCATTGTCACATCCCGTGCTTTCAGGAATGTCTGTGTCCATGTCTTCCTCCCAAACTTCCTCGTGCTGGCAGCTCCTAGCTAGGCTCTGCATGCACTGCAGGATAATGCACGAGGTGTTTACAATGCTCACAACAGCAGTATGCAGCTGAGCCCGCTCCATGCTTGCCGTGCTATGGCATCTGCATGGATAACCCAGGAAAAAGGCACAAAATGATTGTTTGCTGTTGCTTTCAAGGAGGGAGCGAGGAAGGGGAGACTGATGACATGTACCCCAAACCACCGCGACAATGATTTTGCCCCATCAGGCATTGGAAGCTTAACCCAGTATTTCGATGGGCAGCGGGGACTGTGGGATAGCTACCCATAGTGCACTGCTTTGTGAGCTGATGCTAACCATGGTATTGAGGACACACTCCGCCGACCTAATGCGCTTAGTGGGGACTTGCACGATTGAATGTATACAATCACTTATTAAAGATCGACATCTATAAAATTGACCTAATTTCGTAGTGTAGACATGCCCTATTATCTCTAGACCATCCCTGACAGGTGTTTATCTAACCTGCTCTTAAAAATCTCCAATGATGGAGATTCCACAACCTCCCTAGGCAATATTCCAGTGCTTAACCACTTTGACAGTTAGGAAGTTTTTCCTAATGTCCAACCTAAACCTTCCTTG